GGGGGTGGGGGTTGGGGGGGTGTGGGTTAAGGGGGGGGGGGGTTGGTGGGGGGGGGGAGGGCACAAGAACGTGTGAGAGGGCGGCCGAACGGCGTGAAGAATGGCCACAAACCTAACAACAGTGCTACGAGTAGAGCGCGAAACGGGTTCAAAGCAACAGCAGTGCTACTTCTGTCCTACAGTAGCGCAAGAACGGTTTTAAAGGAAGCATGCACAAACACGTGTCTACGGCAGCATTTCGAGGATCACCCACCAGCCGGAGCAGACGCCAGCGTCCTCGCCCCCCCCCTCGGCATCCCCGCTCTCCCCGCTTTCCTCAGGCGCGGCGCAACTCGGCGTGGCGCCCATGCCGGCGTACAGGGCGGGGTCCCCACGGATGGGAGTGACGGTCAGCTGCAGGTCCACATTGTCCTGCGGCGCGGTAACCAACGGTCCGCAGTACGCGGGATGTGCTGAGGTATGGGATTTGTGGGCTTTCGGATTTTGAGAAAATATTAATACGCGCCCCGAGGAACGGGTTATATCGTGAAGACGACGACGACAACAACAACAACAACAATACAAATCGTGCAACGCACACCAAACAGTTTGCGTTTTTTCCCGGGGGCCTACTCGACGGGCAGGCGGCTAGCGCCGCGGTCTTCGTGAAAATAAACTACTACAACACATGAAATATCATGGTCTCGTTAGAAAGAACCCTCAGGGTGAATGGTGTTGCGTCATCAACTTTTGCAGCACTCAGAATCCGGAGGCTGGACCTTGTCTATCCGGGCTCCGCCGTAAGCCCCTCGGGCCCGCGCCAAAATAAACCATCCCAGCTAGAGTTGTTTCACCAAGACCGACCACTGTCGTATTGCCATCCAGTCAGCCCCGGCTACTACACAACGCCGACGATGCCACCGACTTCTCGATTGTAGGTGATGTTTCGAACAACGAAACGTCGCAATTTCTGGGCCTCAGCAGTAGGGCTGGTGGTAGCGTCGTCTTGCTGCAACACCGAAAATTTAGGACGGGGAAATACCTTAAGGGGGTAGCACACACGCGCACCTGGTCTACGAGGAACCCGAACGCCATTGAACTCCCTGCCTCGAGGGTATGCCTCTGTGGAACTCCCTCTTGCAGGATAGAGACGCCCTGCCAACAATGACAGAGAGGGGAAGGGGCGTGGACAAGTGAGGCCCAAAGGAATGCGAGTGGATGCCGACAGATGAAAAGTACAGCTAGCGGTGCGAGCCTTGGAGATATGTGCCATGCCAAAAATGGAAATCGCTGCCTTTTCACGACAGCGTACAAAAAACGTGTCGCAGCAGATGGTGACGAAAACATGGACGGCGTGAGTGATCCATCACACGAGGCATTTCCCAACTAACCCAGTCGCGGACGACCTCCCTCGATGAGACGGGGGTGGCTCATGCGTAGGACGACTGGTCCATAAGCCTGGGAAGGCAACCGCACCCACACCAACAAGCATCCACACTAACAACGACACCACCCACAACAACAACAACAACAACGACCAACCTGCGAGAGCACCCACACCAACAGCACCGTTCTGGCCAACACCACCACCATCACTACCACCAACGACGACGACAACCACGTAACCTGCGAGAAGGTGCCGGCGACCGAAAACGTGACATCGCTCACCACGGAAACTCCGACAACCAACCAACATGCGACCGGTCCACACGCCTGGGGAACGCAACAGCACCCACACCCACAACAACGACAGCTACTAACCTGCGAGAAGGTGCCGACCACCGAAAACGTAACATCGGTCACCCCGGAAACTCCGATAAGATAGGGATCCGCGGTGCCTCCATCACCGTCAAGGACTATGGTGTCCTGGGCTTGACCTCTCGACGTCCATCTGGGTTTTGCGTAAAATTTATTCGATAGGCCCGGGGTGGAGGAAAGGCTAGAGTGAGATCGGGTGAGGCCGTCGGCAACGGACGCTGGTTGGCGCCATACCCTGACACAGAGAAAATCCAACGTCATTTTGTAACAGCAACAATAACAACAGCAATCCCCAATACCGGTAAACCGACGACGACAACACAACTCCGACACGAATAAGTCTTCTTCACAAAACTACACAAACGCAATAGAACGTCGTCATGCCTGTAAGTTGCGCGGTCATGCGGGTCGATGACGGCAGTGTCCTCGCCCTCCCCGCCCGCAGGCCTCCGGACCACGTACAGGTCTCCCTCCCCGATGGACTTGGTGAGCGTGACCGTCAGCTTGGTCGTATCGCTCTCGGGCCTCAGGAGGTAGTAGCGCATGCCGTTGGCCGCGACCTTGCCCGCCTGGGGACGCCCGTGGACAAGCAGCGTCGCTGCGTTTTCGCGTTTGTTATTTTAGTGTCGGTATGGTCAAGAAGGTGGCCGTGGCCGTGGCCGCCGCCGCCGCCGTCATGTTGGACCAGTGGTCAGGGGGAGTGCGCGTACCGGCGGTCACGGGGAGTACGCATACCAACATGTGTGCGTGAGTGCGATTGCGAAGGTACGGAGCGTCAGAGCGAGGTCCGCAGTTCCGTGTCGAAAAACGTCAAGCGTTCCGAGCGTTCGCGGGCCGTTCCGTGCGTGATCGGTCCGAGCATCGTTCCGCGGTCCGGTCCGGCAACACAGTTCCGTCAGGTGCGGGGAAGCAAGAGGGGCACGGGGTGGGGGGATCAGCTTGACGGAGGCTGAGCGAGTGTGGCCGGGTAACGATACTGGCCGCATCAGAGAAGAAAACGTACCGTCTGTGGGATCTCCTACAAACGGCAGTGCTGTCTTCCTACGCGTGGAACCAGAGAAAACGACAGGAAACAGTTTCGTGGCACTCTTCTTACAGAAACATCACACAGCAGTACATCTCTGTCCGCACATTAGAGTCCTGCTGGGTCGTATACTGTCCCCCGGAGAGGAGTGAGAGGCGCGGCGCTCTCCACCAACATACCCTACAGCTTGCGACCCGTTTCTTTCTATTTTTTTCAGCTCGGACGAACAAAAAGTGTTGCAGTCGACTGGTAGTCTAGAACTCATTGTAGCTAAGACCTAACATTTGGTAAGAAACAAAAGACAGAAATCCATAAGAGGAAAGCTGACATAATGAGTTCTCAAAACCTGCCCGTGTACTCTCCTCCACCCTGTCACCCGGTATCACACGTAAAACACATCTACCGAGACCTGTGCACGATGGCGCCAGAAACGACGGACGAACACTCACAGCACGCTCTCCGCTGCGACTATTACACCGAGATGGCGACTAAGGAATCTTTCCTGAAAGCGAACAACTAACTCCGAAGAGAAATAGAAGGGAAAACACGCGAGAGCGAGGTAAAAAGAAAGAAGAACAAGAAGAGGGGACTTTGTTGGTCTCTCACTTCCCTCATCGCCGCGGTACACTGAGACGGTGTAGGAGGCGTTGGCGGCGGAGGTCAAGCCTATCTGGTAGGCGCAGTCGTCGCAGAAGTGCTGGTCGCTCGCAGAGATGTCGATGAAATCGGCTCCTTTTACGGTATTGTTTTCGAAGCAGCAACAAACAAAATGAGAAAAACAACATATGAGCATAGACAAGGCTCCGGACTCGTCAGAAAGTGTGTGCGGCGGAGGCGATGCTAAATCAGGGGTGTAGCTTGCGACCAGCGAACTGTGTTCCAAGGTAGCACGATCACCGGCAGACTGCAGCAGGCACAAGCGATGCACGACAAAAGTGCTAGGAACAGCAACAATGACGACGGCAATAAGAGGCCACAAGAGCGCCAATAGGAGTAGCAGCAACGACGACGACAATAGGAGAACACATAAGCGCTTATAGGAGCAACAACAACGGCGACGGCGGTAAAGAGGCCACAAAAGCGCTAGAAGGAGCAGCAACAATGGCGACGACAATAAGAGGCCGCAAAAGCGCTAGAAGGAGCAGCAAAAACGACGACGACAATAAGAGGCCACATAAGCGCTAATAGGAGTAGCAACAACGACGACGGCAAGGCCACAAAAGCGCTAATATAGGAGCAGCAACAACGACGACGACAGTAAAGCGGCCACATAAGCGCTAACAAGAGCAGCAACAAAGACGACTGCTACACAGGAGGCCGTCTTACCCGTGGCGCCCCCCATCCAGTAGAAGTTGTTCGGCCCCGGGAGATCGCTGCCCCCTACGGTGACGTAGATGTCGGGATCTCCGGTTAGGGCCGTTGCCACCACCTTCTCTCGTGGTGTCAAACATCACATCGCACAAGAACCACACAAATGTATAGCAGCAAAACACCGGCGGAGATGGCGATACGGGAGGGGGGCAGAAAGAGAGCGAATGGCAACATGAAGACATACACGAAGACATAGGTAGAGAGAGAGAGAGAGAGAGAGAGAGAGAGAGAGAGAGAGAGAGAGAGAGAGAGAAGATGCAGACACAGGGGATCGGGGATGACAGAGGGGGTTGCAGAGGGACAGAAGGCAGTATCAAGCAGAGGGAGAGAAAGGGAGAGAGGGAGAGGGCCGAACACAGATACAGACGGGGCAAAGCAGGGAGAACGGTTGGCCACAAGAAGACTTGCAATGTACACGGGGACATTCAAGGAAAACAAACCATGCAACCATTGATGCACAACCTGCTTCTACCGCACGCGCTCATTACCTGTATGGACTTGCCATGCCCTGGGGGGTTGAAGAACTCGTAATACTTCCAATCGTCCTCCCCTCCCACGAGCCCCTGCTGTGGGAACCCCTCCTGCAGCCTAGTCAGCCCCTGGCTCGCTACGATAGAGTAGCCACCCTTCTTGTAGCCGTAAACGCCCACGTAGATGGTGCAGTCGGTGCAGAAGCTGGGATAAAGACGAACATATTTTTTCAATGAATCGGTTCTCAACAAGGGTTTTATCTTCCATGTGATGAAGAAAGCGAGTTAACGAAAAGCAATGCCAAGAAGAAGGCAAACGCAAGAGGATTTTTTACACCCGTGTCTCGGAGAAAGGAAGACGTTCAAAATTGGTGGCGACGTCTAGGCGCCGGTAAATTGGTCAGCTGTATTCACGAGGACCCCCCGACGTGCACCGTGAACACGAAACAAAGAAAACGACAACGACGACGGTGACAAGAGAAACAAAAACCAGTGACACCGACAGCCACATAAATATTTCTTCCACAACGGAAACAACAATCGTACTGGCTGCCCACCCGGAGTGGCCAGAGAACCAGCGACGCAAGCTATGCAGCACACACATGATACGCTGCCTTACCCGGGTGCCGTTTCCGAAAACACCAGCGTCGACGAGCCGACCCAGTTGCTGCTTTTCACGTCGTAGTCTTCCGGCCCGGGCTCGCGAGACCGGTTAGCGGTGGCGTACAGGTCCTGGGGATACGGGATGGAAACCCAGGGGATCGGGGGGCGGGTTCCAGCAGACGGGGGATGGAGTTCTTCGGGATGTGGAATGGGATGGATGAGGGGCACGGAAACAACTGGAACGGAAGCTGGAAACCCAGCGACTACGGTAGTGTGTCCAGGGATGAAAACAACGGGGACTGAAGCTGGACCCAGCGACTACGGTAGCGTGTGGAAACTGACAGAGGATGGGTTTCGTTGAATGCGGCATAATCCAGTTTGCTACATGCCTAGTCTGTGGAAACAGTGAGATTTGTTGCTCAACAACAGGACATTATCGAAACGCGAAAGACAGTGTGCCTGTGTTTCTTGCCAATAGAGCACTACGACAAAATGCTGCGCCATGCATCAACATAGTGCACCGGCGTCGGCAGCAACAACAAACATCATGTATCGCCAACAGCGTAGCAGTAGTACACTACCACCACCACCACCAACAACAACAACAACAACAACAACAACAATGACATCAACAAGCGCAACTTTGAGAGCCACCATCGCAACTAACTTGCACGTCCTCAGCACACAAGAAATATACAGTTCAGATTTATCAACAGCTACAGGAACAATGATGCATAGAATAAACATGATCTCATGCGTTGCCACAAACGGAGTAGCACAACAACATATCCGAGGTCCAAAGAGCAAAAAACAAGGAGTATGTAGTTCTGCACGACGCACCTGCTGCCCTCCATCCGTAGGTGTCGTCGTCACGACAATGCTCTCCCAGGGATTCTCCTCGGGCGCTGGCGTGATGAGCAGGGCGTAGTAATCGAAGTTGCCCTCCTCGAGGAAAGAGGACTGCGGATGATTCCCGAGCAGCAGCTGTTGCGGATGTCTCCACCCGCTGCTAAGAGAAGCCTTCGGAGCGGGGGTGGGATAGGGGGGGGGGGGTCAGTGTATTAGTACAAAATTGGCATGTTTGGTCACTACGATAATAAGCGCTCAAGTCGGGCAGGAAGTTGGGCAGCTCTAGCCCTCGCTGATATCTCTACCAGCTTTGAGAGAAGCTCGGCAAAAGATCGGGGTAGAAGGCAGCAACAGCTACGGCAGATGAAGAACCACCGGTGTCCAAGAGAAGGTCTTCTCGTAGTACCGGACAAGTTGACATAAGATACCACACCCCCTGGGCCGATTTTCGAAACTCAGTTGCTCCACAGCGCACAGATTGGCGGTGCCGAAAATGGCGGGGTGGGTACCGAATTGTCGAGAGCTTTCCGAAAGAGTTTCGTTTGATTTGTGCATCCTCTTTGTCGTGGAGCACTTGATCAAAAATCGTTCCATGGGGTGTGGTATCTTACGCCATGTCACCTACGGCAAGCAGCATCTTCTCGAGTCTCGCCGACTGGACCATTAAAGAAGTTGTTCTGCGTTATAGCCAAGAGCCGGTGTGAATCTACCACGACAGACAAGAAGCACCGCAACGTATCACAGAGAAGACTCGACACCACACCTTGACGGGCGAGCTCATAAACACACCTTGATGGTATAGCTGCAGTTCGTCCTTGCTTCAACTCCGATGCAGTAGGTGCAAATTTCGTTGTCCTCCGTCCCGGGAGTGCAGTACTCGGACAAGGATTCAGCCTGCACCGGGCACGGGGCACGCGGGGGGGGCGGTGTTCATCACCGTGCATGCTGTAGACCCACGGGGATTCAGAACAGGTGGGATGGAAAGAAAAAAATAACTGAAAAGGCGTTCGGCCGCTCGCCACGTTGGTAGCACACCGCGACCGCAACCCCTGATCTTACGTGACGCCTGATACCACCTCCTCTGAGCTGCATTCTTGTGTAACGTTCTTTCAGAAATACAACAATGCTGGTGGTTCCCGTGGAAGGAATTCTGAAACATCTATAAACCTCTTGGACTAAACAGTGGCAGAGAGAATCAGCATCGTCGCAGAGGTTGTGATGTTATTGGGCGTCACGAGCGGTACCTGCATGTGCAGCGTGTCCTTCCCGAAGCTGAGTGCTTGCCATGTGAAGTTCTGCTTGGAAGGCAGAGATAACCCGTCAGGATCTTCGGGCGACACGTACCTGCCGCGGGACGGTTGGTGCCAGAAAACAAGGGTGAAGTGCTAGGTTCGACACACGAGAACGACTCTGTTGAGCAGAGACTGTCTCTCAGAAGGGCCCTCCCAAGACACACGGGTCGGGGGGTTGTACAACAAATTGCTCTGGCCAGGCTGAAAAATTGGCCTTAACATCGAACTAGTTTTATACTTGCATCGTTCAAGAGTGTTTACGTCCATGCCCTATATGCACTACACAGCAGCTGCACCAGCAATCAATGGCAACGGAACAAACAACGGCAGAGGTAACGCCTCCAATGCCAAGAGCAAAAAACTAGGACAACAACTCACATGTCAGGATCTCCAGATTGGGGGTCGAGGGAGATCAAGAGGTCCGTTGCATTATCTGCAACAGCAATGCTGAAGTACCTGCCAGAATTCCAAGGCAAGGGCAACGGACCACGGTCGCCACCGCCTTCAATCTCTGCTTTCGCTACGACCACAGCAACGACTTTTCCAGCACCCAAAATACAATTCTTTGCGAAGGTTGAAGTAGCGCTTGGGAGTAGGTACCAGATAGATAACGGTGGTTTTGAACGTAAAGGGAGCAGCAATGACAATGGCAACAGCCGCACTTACGATACGAATTGCTTATGGCCTGTTTATTTCTTGCTTGAAGGAGTGCGGACCGTCGTGTGGAAAACATCAGCATTGTGAGTTTAGAAAAACTCAACGGGCCCGCCAGTACCAGGTTGCATGCTGCGAATCTTGTTTATGCCTGTAGAAAAACTGGAGGGGGGTGTGCGCACTGAGGACTTGGTGGACTCGGTTTTTCCCTGTCTCATCTCATAACCGCATTCCGTGTTCGATATCCTAGTTTTGCCGTCCTTCTTATCTACAACTGCGGCACACCACCAGCACCACCACTGCAACCACAACTTCATCTTCCAAGGCTCCTACGACGACCATCCCTGCGACTACTCCCGCCACACTACTACAGCAGCCACCCACAACAGCCACCATAGAGACAGCGCCAACAGTTCCGCGAGACGTCTCATCTACAACAGCAGCATGCATACCACCAAACACGACATCCCCAAGACCCCACCGCATCTCACGCAACCACGAGGTTTCTCCCGCCCCTCACGCACCGCATCTCGGACGCGTCCTGGAGCATCTGCACCGGCATGCCGTCCTCTAGCCGCAGCACGTCCTCGTCGCTCGCCGCCAGAACCCTGTACAGCGCGCCGGCGGTACCCGTGGCCTTGACCATCACCACCACGGTGTCCCCCTCGTGAGGGACGGACCAACCGGGGAGGCGGAGGACCCTTCCCCCGCTCCAGTCGGACTCGCTGGGCGTCGGCTCCCGCCCCGAACTGCTCGCGTACGTCTCGACGTCGCCGTAGGCCAGCGTAATGATCACTTCCGAGGGCTGCACTTGTGGAGTGCCGGCCACCTTCGGCACAAACCAGCGGTCCGGTGGTGGTTTCGCGCGGGTCGGAGATATAGCGCAACAGGGGTTGCGAAAGAGGGAGAAAAGCAATATCTGGGTACGTTCAATTTGCCCCGGGATTTGAGCTAACGCGCCCGGGCGGGGGAACAAAGAACAGAGACAACTTGCAGTTCCGACACGGTTTTCGAATTTTAGTCTTCTTTCAGTGTATGCTTGAACACAATTCATGCTTCCCTCACGACCCAATCTCCGATGGTACACACAAGAGGCGGTGGCCTACTAAACCAGTCTCGAGACAGCTCAAATTAACCATATCTCCTGATCCAAAGGACTGGAGGCGATCGCCCTCACATCTCCCCTATACTTTTCTCGAATCGAATGGAACTGACAGCTGCAACGGGGGGTTCCGCGGACTGAGCATAAATAGTATGGCACATTCCGTTCATGGACGGTCACGCCGTATGGGCGCGGGGAGCTCAATTTGTTGAAGTATAGGTGCCTGACGACGACTGCTGTTCCCAGGCCATGCATGACATGTGGTTGCATCACTTGCATAGTAATTATATTCTGGAAGCCTGGGTCACCGCCTTTCTACTGTAGTTTCTGCCGGTACGCATGTCTTCAACTATTTCATCTCCCACAAATGTGTCTGTCCCAAAGCCCAATAAGCTACAGCTGTACACCTCGCCCTCTTTTTCGCGCTACACGCCTCCAAACCCGTAGGTAGGCGGCACTATACACTTGCTTTTTGGTCACGCGCACGAACGTTTAGTTTGTTTGCTTACTGGACGTCCATGCCTTCAGTTCGGTGCTTTTGAGTATTGGGCGTGGTCGCCGTTTGTCAATTTCCGTATGCATATGCCGGATCGACATCTGTGTGTCTGCTGTTGCGTGCGACATTCAGCAGTGCTCAAGCCTACACTTATCTGTTGGCGAGGTATTTGCGACCACCTGTAGTGCCGTTTCTTCGCCTGACAGACGACGATTCTCAATACGACGACAGCATCAACCGTCGACAAGTATCGACAGAAGCTGAATATGAAACCAGATGCTACTCTTCGGGAGAAGCGGAGAGATTGTTGACAACCATCAACCGCCCCCCAGGCGACCGAAGCATGATGCAGAATGGTCCACTGGTGGGCATGGACGCCCCTACATGCAATGGAAAGCGACCATCCAGTAATCTACACAGAGTCGGCGCTCTACAGCAGTAGTAGTGCAGACACCGACGGACCTCATTCTCGGACAGCATGCACCCTAACTTGAAGGCAAATATACCAACGAGCTGACTCTATCTGCAGCTTATAACTAAATCACCTCAAAGTAGCCGATTTCGCCGTCCTCCGCTTTCAGCCAAGGATCGCCGAACGCTGTTCCCATCTCCAGCTTGCACGGCACTGCTACCGGACATCGTAGCCCCACGGCCTCTGCTGATTCTACTGCTGCATCTGCTGATCGCTCTTCTTCCTGTGTGTCCTCAGCGTCTGCAGCAGTGCCATCGAACCTGCTACTACTGAGTGCTGCTGCGGCAATGACTGCTCTGTAGATATTGGGAGCCTTCATCGTGCACCCTACTGCACGACCAAGCAACGTACTACCCAGGCCAAAGAGAGGCAGAGATGCAGAGAGGATCGAACAGGGAGGAGAAACAGCAAGCAAGAGCAAGAGGATTGGTGGGGATCTGCAAATGCGACTTTTCGAAAAGGGTGGGTGGGTGCGAACCTACATGCCTCGCAACCTATTGGAACATCCTTCTAGAAAGATATCCCCCCCGACCACCTCATAAGTGGTTGGAGGCGTTTTCGCTTCGACAAGGTTCGAGATTGAAAGTTCGAGATCCGCGAACCGCGAACTGCTGCCCCCCACCCTCAGTCACTTCTCACAGAGATCCAAGAAAGAACAACACGCAAACAGCAGTACCAGAGCTAAAAGCACCAACAATCATGGCAGCAGTCGAGGGAGAGACATCGGCATCGACCTGGGCACGACCTACTCGTGTGTGGGCATGTGGCAAAACGACCGCGTGGAGATCATCGCCAACGACCAGGGCAACCGCACGACTCCGTCCTACGTGGCCTTCACCGAGACGGAGCGCCTGATCGGCGATGCCGCCAAGAACCAGGCGGCGATGAACGCCACCAACACCGTCTTCGATACCGAGCGGCTGATCGGCCGCAAGTTCACGGACCCGGCCGTGGCCTCCGACAAGAAGCACTGGCCCTTCAGTGTGGTCGCGGGTCCCGGTGGGAAGCCCACGATCGAGATATCTTTCAAGGGAGAGAAGAAGCAGTTCGCGCCTGAGGAGATCTCCTCCATGGTGCTGGTCAAGATGAAGGAGATCGCCGAGGCTTTTACCTTGGCAAGGAGGTGAGTGTGTGAGATCTGCAATACCTTGTACAAAAATAAGCTCCGCGTGGTTGTTCTCAGAGGCATTCAATCCCTTGGAGATCTTTGGTGGAAGGGACGGGTCTACAGAAAATAAACAAAGGGACACCAGAGGTCGTATTTTGGATCTACAGTAGATACCAAATGGAAAGGTTGGTACTTCTACATAGGTACTTTGGTCTTGGATCCGTCTGGAAAACAACGTATGGCGGCAAAGGGAGCGGTTGTTTTCTCGAATGTATGCATACATACGGGCGGCGTGAAAGCAGAGGTGGACCGTGATACCTCCTGTCGCTTGCGCTCTCGTCTTGCTGGGAGGTAGTGTCAAGCGGCGAGAAGGATAACGATTGATTCCGTCTCGAGAACAAGCAGATCAACAACTGCTAACTACACTCGTAAACATCTACTACTGTAGACTACAGTAGATCTACTACATAGGAGTAACAAATACTACCACATTTTGCATGAAGTCTGCACCTGTTCGACTTCCCATGTGGGTGACTATTGTTAGGGTGGTTGGAATGGCTGGCAGAGGGAAAAGATGCGGGTAACATGGTACTGCCAACGAAATCGTCGTCCTTCTACGTCGTACTACATGAAGCAGCGTGTCTGAGACGGATAGGATTGTGCATCGTGAGCAGTAGCAGTGAACACGTTCACCACGCGATAAGTAGAGCTGAGGTTATGTTGAGGAAGCTTACTGCCGTACCCCTTACACAACCACTGAACGAGTTCGAAAAACGTACACACTTCCAGATTGCTTCTCTACGCCGTAGGCATACGTAGGTTTTCGTCCTAAAGTTGGCGGCAGAAGGAGGAGAGCAAGTCCAAGCAACCCCCCGTGCAAAACGGATACACCAAAGGTCGCCCAGCCGTTGACCCCAACACCTTGCGTTGTTGTTGTTTCTGGTGATTTCTGCATCGGTGGCCTAGACTGTGCTCAACTCAACACGGATTAGACGTGTCATGTTCTGTGTGAAAAAAAAAGCTTATCGGGTTATTGTGACTAGGGCGATGGGTCCTTCGTACAATGTGGCGTACTTTGGTTGGCGGTCATAAGAGTACTCCGGATATCCGTATCCTCTTACTCCGACTGCTGCTGGCATTGCAACTCTTTGTTGATATTGTGGCTCACTGTGGAGCCCCAGAGCCTTCTACATGGCAGCAATCACGCCTTTTCAAGATAAAAAACGCGTACACAACTTCCAACGAACTGTCCACACGCCTCTGTAGTCATAGATCCCGATCACCAACACTCGATCGCCGCGCTCTGAAACAGTTGTGGAGGACTTTCGGTGGACAACTGTTTTATGGTGACAATGCTTTAACGTTGAGCGACCGTAACCCGACCCCTTGTTTCTCTACTATACTCCTCTGTTAACACGGCACGGTTCATCAACACTGCCAGGTGAAGAACGCGGTGATCACCGTGCCTGCATACTTCAACGACTCCCAGCGCCAGGCGACCAAGGACGCCGGAGCCATCTCGGGTCTTAACGTGATGCGCACATCAACGAACCGACCGCCGCGGCCATCGCGTACGGCCTGGACAAGAAGGGCGAGGAGCGCAACGTGCTCATCTTCGACCTGGGCGGCGGCAACTTCGACGTGAGCGTGCTGACCGTCGAGGAGGGCATCTTCGAGGTGAAGGCCACCGCTGGCGATACCCACCTGGGCGGAGAGGACTTCGACAACCGCATGGTGGACTACTTCCTACAGGTACGCACGTGCTCCCTTGCTGGGACGGTGGGGTCGGTTCATTGCTGCGTGTTTGGTGGGCAACGGAAGTGGATTCTTGGTGCACGGTAATTTGGCTCGTTTCCTTGTGGATACCAGCGGCGGCGTGTCTCGATGTGTCTACATAGCACACGTCCTTCGAGGGAACTAAGTTCAGGAAATGCTTTAGTTTGTCTTGGCGACCGCAACCTTGCGCTAAAAAGTAAGAAGGGTGCGCTGTTGTAAGGCTTGGTAGAAGAAAGCTGCTTGTTGCCAGAGGGGCTTTCTTGTTTGTCGACGCGATGGCTGTCCCCTGTAAAAATGTGCAGTGTCAATGTGCCCTGTACCCAAGGGTATTGTGAAGGCGGTTAAGGTTGCGTGAATTCCAGACCGAAGTCTGTTGTTGCAGCGACGAAGTCGATGTGCTGCTAAATGCCGGTTTTGGGACTCGTGCTTCTTTTCTTTCTCAGATTACAGCATTTCCAGAGATCAGATGCTGAGGGATAGTTGGGAGTGGGCGTGGTGGGGCTCGTATCACCTCGATCTCGCTGCGATATCTTACGATGAACAATGGATTGATTCAAGAGATTCTCGCTAGAACTCGTCGCTACGATGTTACGTTCTGTCTAACGTCACTTATTATCACATCACGCGTCTACGAATCATTGTAAGCAGCAACCTTACAGCCACATCTAAACCTACTACACACGTCCTACAGTGGCTAAATGCGCTGTATTTCAACATCCCCAGCTTTCGTGCTGCTGATGCTGTTGCTGCGGCCGGAAACACCAAACGAGTCGATTATTTCGTCCGCACATGTCACTTATACCTTCAATTTCAACCTGTTTATTTCCAGCCGAAAGGAAAATTAAATAGTTCGACGCTTCAACCGCGCCAGCACTGGAACTGCGTCCTCGGTGAACGCCAACCGCGTGTGGCTCCCCGGCTGAGTTGTTGTGAAACGTCAATTTTTCTGATTGTCCCCTCCATTTTCCCTCCCTCCTTCGTCACCTACCGTGTGGCTTTGCTCTCGTGCACCACCGTAAACCGTAGGAGTTCGAGCGAAAGAACCGGAAGGACATGAGCACCAACCAGCGCGCCCTCCGACGGCTCCGCACGGCGTGCGAGCGAGCGAAGTGAACCCTCTCATCGTCCACCCAGGCGCACATCGAGATCGACTCCCTGTTCGAGGGCATCGACTTCAACTCCACCATCACTCGCGCGCGGTTCGAGGACATGAACCAGGACTACTTCCAGAAGTGCTTGGCACCCGTGGAGAAGGTAGGTTCCCAGTTGTCTTTGTTGAGGCGGTAAAAAGTAGTGGTTATTTCTGGAGGGGGGGCAGAAAAGGATGGTGATTGTTGTGCTTTGTCGCACGATAGCGGTAGATGCCAAATACTAGGCATCGTCCATCCAGCTTTTAACTGAATTTTGTACAGAGTGCATACATTATCAAAAGGTGAACACTGGAGAGTGGCGGATACGAGCTGACTACTTGCGTATACATGCAGGCTCATGTGTGTCATAACGAACGATGTCCACCACCGCACACCCAATAAAAAATGCACAGGAAATGCGGCAATAACATGCTCACCACGTTTTCACCTGATCACCACTAGTATGGGCGTTGATCTCATGAACAGGACGGAATATCCAACCGTTTGTTACTCCCGTCCCCATTCTCGACGGGTTTTTTTCACCAAGACTAGGTGGTGAAGGACGCAAAGATGTCCAAGGGCCAGATCCACGAGGTGGTGCTTGTGGGAGGTTCCACCCGCATCCCCAAGGTGCAGCAGATGCTTTCGGAGTTCTTTAATGGCAAGGAGCCGTGCAAATCCATCAACCCCGACGAGGCCGTCGCGTACGGCGCCACCGTCCAGGCCACCATCCTCTCGGGCAACGACAAGTCGGAGAAGCTCGACTTGCTCCTGCTCCTCGATGTGACCCCGTTCGGGCAGGGGCTCGAGACGGCCGGCGGCGTTATGTCGGTGCTCATCAAGCGTAACACGACGGTGCCGGCGAAGAAGTCGCAGGTGTTCTCGACCTACGCGGACAATCAGCCGGGTGTGCTGATCCAGGTTTTCGAGGGCGAGCGCAGCATGACCCGCGACTGCAACATCCTGGGCAAGTTCAGCCTGGACGGGATCCCGCCCATGCCCAGGGGCCAGTCGCAGATCGAGGTGACGTTTGACATCGACGCGAACGGCATCCTGAACGTGCGCGCCGCGGAAAAGTCCACCGGCAAGGAGAACAAGATCACCAACGACAAGGGCCGCCTCAGCGCCGACGAAATCGAGCGCATGGTGGAGGAGGCCGAGCGGTACAAGGCCGAGGACGACGTCCAGAAGAGCCGCGTGGAGGGCAAGAACTCTCTCGAGAACTACGCCTACTCGATGCGTAACACGATCAACGACGAGAAGGTGCGTGTCTTGGCGGTTTCATGCGTGCACCATGTTTCGAGAAGATATCGGTCGCCACGTTCTTCGGGAGCCGTGTGTGTACGGTGAAAATCGGTGACGCATGATTGGCGCCGTGCAGTGTCGTGGGGTAGGCCGGAAGACGTGTTGTTTCAGTCAAGGTTCATGCAATAATGACATCACCACATGGCGTTGTGCCCAACGCTACATATGTAGAGTCTCGAAATCCCCTGCGGCACCTTTCTCTTAATACCATTGTCGTGCCTACTTCCCCCGAAAGCTACAATGACAACAGGTTGCCTCGAAGCTGGACGAAGCAGACAAGACGACGATCGAGACCAAGATCTCGGAGATAATCGCGTGGCTCGACGGCAACCAGTCCGCCGGGAAGGAGGAGTACGAGGAGAAGCAGAAGGAGCTGGAGGGCGGGTGCAACCCCATCATCCAGAAGATGGCCGGCGGGGCCGGCGGTGAGCCAGGCGGTATGCCCGGCGGCATGCCCGGAGGCATGCCGGACATGGGCGGCGCCGGCTTCCCCGGGGCCGGAGGAGCGGCAGCCCCCGACGCGGACGCGGACGCCGGCCCCAAGATCGAGGAGATTGACTGGACGAAAGATATTGGAAGTCGAAACTGAGAGCGTACTTGCATCGTGTTTAAAATTGAACGTTTTGTGTATGGGTCAGTGTTGGATATTGGGTATCGAATATCGATACAAAACTAATATATATCGCCGATACGCAGTATCGGTATTGCCGGTTTCCACGCCGATATTTGTCGATACGAATCGGTATCGGTATCGGTATCGGTATTCGATACTCGATATTTTGGCCCCCTTTTTACCGGGGGGGGGTCAGTTTCCCAGCTGTCTACCCCGCTTTTTTCGCTCCCCGGAGGCGCCTACGCGCCTACTCCTGTCGCCCCCCACTGTCATCACAACCACACACCACACACACACCAGCCCCTGCCAGCCACACACCACACCAACAGCGCCTGTGTCTCAGCTCCTGAGAACCACATCGGTGTGCAACATGAGCCTTCAAGAATTCGGCTTTGTCGCCGGCGATAGCGCTGCCTCTGCCGAATGAGTAGCAGTCATCCCCTCTATTTTTGAGTCAGCTTGCCTCCTTACGTAGATTTGGCGTTTCCCGCAGTTTCAGCAGTAGAACTACTACATTAGTGCGAACAGAGGCCGTACCTCCTGCGGACAATTTATGCTGTGCGAACTTGGTTTTGGGACTAGTAATATGTAATGGCAAGGGGTGCTTGATTTCATGTCCGACCACTTGGGCGTGTGATGAATAGAGGTAGGTGATGTCGTGTTTAAGTTTGGCAAGCGTTTGATTTTCGCACACAATGTTTTCGCCATGTTTTTTCTTTTGTTTCCTTTTGGCTGTTGGTTTTTCTAGAGTTGATACCCGCTCGAGGTGTATTGCTGATTGTTGGGCACCCACAACTAACTGGTGGGTGGAATTTTGCATGCATAACTTTGAAGGTAGTAAGATAATATAAAACCAAGAAAGTGTGTTCGAGTTTTTTCCGCGTTTTTTTGTCATGAAATCCTGCTCGCAGCCGAGCTTGCACTGATTCGATCGCAACCGTACGGCGGGGCGGTGTTATAGTCTAGTGTGTACGTGTATACACACACGCACACTGACTGTAAAATGTAAAATATATCTGGTGGACATAGCTACACAACCAACTCCTGCCTCTTGCACGATGCAGTTTTGTGTGCGCAACATCACATCACAACGTGTGCCCGCTGTTGTTGTGCTCGTGATGTTCAACTAACTGCACACACCTGGCACCTGGCAAACACTACTACTTCCATGCCGCCGGACCATGAGCGCACGTCGTGCGCACTGCTGTATACTTCAGATAAGGGTTCGGGTGTGCCAGGGTACGTGTAGTTGCGTATCGCTCGCTCTTCTTGTAACCTGAGGCCTTCAAAACAGCCGTATCGATATCGAGTATCGATACTCGATACGTATCGAGCCATTTTCGGGATATCGAACAAAATATCGGTATTTGTGTTTTTTTCTCGATACGATTGGCGTATTGTATCGAACCCTTCTGCCCGACCGATATCCAACACTGGTATGGGTACATTGTACTGCCGGTCTATCTATCTACGACGTAGATGTACAAATTATGTCATGTGTCTCGTATTATCTTTGAATGGGCGGCGAGGCGACAGGGCCATTTCCCACAGAGAAAGCGGCGTTTTTTTTAACAGAGTAAAGGAGGGGGGGGTAGCGCCCAGTCCCTACACAGGTAGAGTTTGTCGTGTTTCGGCCACTCGGGCTCGGAATGACTCTAGTGTTAATTCGTTTATGTGCACAGAGAAGCGTCGAGGACGCCGCGGGTTCGACGAGGAATGGAAGGGTGGGGAACCACGTTTGAACCACGTTTGTTTCTGGTGTTGTACATGTTGGCTGCCGACACCGAACGAACCTACTGTACAGCAGCGAGGATCCTGCCTTGCATCACGCTCACGGCGGCGGCGTGTTGTTTGTTTGGCTGGGCGGCAGTGATTTATTCTTGGTAAGCTTGCCTAAGAAGATTACCTAGCGAGGAGATGTGGTGTGATTCTGTGAACCAAGCGGAAAGTCTCATGAACAGCTGGGAAAAATAGCTGTGTGCCATTGAATGTAGTGGAGGCTGGCAATGTGCTGATCGGCCTTTGTTTTTGGACGGGTTTGATTGGATTTCAAAGATTTACGTGAGCTGATGCCAACCCAGACAAGACGACCGGTAGAGAAGGGTGCAGGTACGAGTGGAACCTTCACCACCGTGTTTTTGCTGTAGAAAAAGAGTTTTCTTGCAACCGAGCGCATGCTCGAGCACGCTCATGAAGGAATCAATCTTTCGCTGGGATTTCTCAAATACCCGTCATCCCATCTGGTCAAACAACGGGGCACAGGGTGCGCCCCCCTTTTGTGGGGTAGTTGTCCTGTAATCATGCAAGGTGTTCGCGTCAATTGGACAGGTACCGGTGTAGAAGGTACTGAGCAGAAAACCCGAACGGTTAAGCTTGAAGACCAAAAGAAACAAACTATGCCACCCTCCTCCCGCCCTTTAGGATCCGGTTCTCCGAAGAACCTTGCCCAACGAACCATCCGACGGCCCGGACGACGTATTGGCGTTGGCGTACATCTATTTCCACGAGACGTCCTTGTAAGTCAACACACAAAGACATCACGAACATCATTTGGTTGCGCATAACAGCGAATGGTAAACTTGCTGCTAACAACTCAATCCACGACTGACTACTGTTTGCTCAAATATTTCGAACATATGGCACCAGGTACGCCATGTACGAAATGCCGCACCCACTACCCTCTCTACGCCGACCACCACCGTATCGGCACGGGCCGAGCCACTCGCAATCCCTCGTTAGTTGTATCATCTTAATGTCCACGCGCACAACATTACGAAAATAAGGCACCAGGTATGCTATGTAGCCAATTGCCGTACTTACTACCCTGTGAATACGCGACGACCGTATCGGCACGTGTCGAGCCACTCGCTCTCCCTACATAGATGTTCATCTTAATGATCACGCGTACATCTTCCTGATCTCGTACACCTCAAGCCACTCTTGTCAAAACTGGCTCTTGCGGCCGGCGATCGCGCCGCTTCCGCGCAGGCTCGTGCCCCTCGGGTTAGCGCGGCGGGTCGGGCTGCGGTAGGGCACGAACATCACGCCCGGGGACACAGACACCTTGGCCGGGGCGTGTTTTCTCTGCCGGCCCAGCGGCACAACCCCCTCTCGAGAAGAGGAGCGGATGGTGACCGACGTCAACGTCGACACCAGTGTGGACGCCTCCTTGTTGGCGATCTTGGTCCACCTTGACAACGACGACTGCCTAACGGTGATGTTCTCGCTCCCAGAGAAGGCGTGGGAGGAGGAGATGGAGAAGGACGAAGACGGTGTAGATGGTGACGGCGAAGAAGAGGACGGCGAAAGTGTGCCGGTGGCGTCGTCGTCGTCGTTGTCCGAGGGGGCCACGGTGCGGCCGCTCCCAGTGCTGCTTGATGTGCTGCCGAGCGGTGGTGGCAAGGGTAGGCAAAGAAGACTTTGCTCTTGCTGCTCTTGTCCGGAGAAGAGAGGGGGGAGGAGGCGGAGGAGGAGGCCAGCTGACCCTCAAGTTGCTGCTGCTTCGCGGTGGTCTCGCCCTTCCCTTGGCACAGCGTGGCGAACGTGGCGGTCCTGTCCTGCAGCCCCTTGCTAGGGGCCACCTCGGGCCAGAAGATGGCCGCGCCAGCCTGGAGGGTCAAGGGGGACAAAATCAAGGAGATCGATTTCCGGTCTGAGACAAGGAAGAAATTCATCCCACGTATTGTAGTACAACCAACAGCGACGGGATGGAGGCGTTCCGTGGTGCAGGGTGTGACTCGACAACGAAAACGTTCATTCCGAGTCTTAAGAGACCATCACAACCAACAACAACGGCAGCGGATGTACCCACTTGCACCGCCACGTACTGCCTTCTACACACCACAATGCACTCGTAGTGCCTAACACAGAAGACGTCTTGATCCACCCCAAACACATGTGTTGATGATGTAGGCGGAAGCAATCGCGAATTAATACCGGTGGGAAATGAAAACAACTGGGGGGGGATACGCTGCACAACACCTTCAAAGAGTGGCGGGGGAATGTTCTTCGAAGAATATCACCTTGCATGCAGGGAACAAAAATATTGAAGAAATATTGTCCCCGCTGCTCGGTCGTGTTGTTTGGAGGGACTGTCAATACGGGGGGGAGGTGGGGATCGAAGCATAGCTACGGTCGGTATGTACAATACCGACAGCTTGGGTACCGGGAAACAAAAAATATACCACTACGCTGGGTGACACGGGAGCCATGCCTTCTCGAGCAAGACGAGTCTGAACGTGCGGCAGCATGTGTGGTTCCAATCTCCAAATGCCTGAAGGATTCGTCGGTCAGCACTCACCGCAGTCTTGATCGGCAAGAGTGCCTTGTGGCACTCGGCGAGGTGGAGGCCGATTAGGTTGAAGGCCTTTGCTTGGTGGTCCGGGGTAACCCATTCCTTCGAGCTCCTGGTGTCGACCGGAAGGGATACACGGATGGCAGTAGGGCGAGTGCTTGCGGTTGGTCACAGTACAATGTCTGGGTCGACGGCTTGCCTCCGATGAAAGTATAGGGTCGAGTTGTTAAGAGGTGAAGGGAAGCAGTGCAACATCTCCATGGTAACCTGAATTATTGCTGAACCAACAAGTTTTTCCTCAATGAATGAACTACAAATTCCGCTGTAGGGCTAGACCAGATTTCGCCACGTTTCCAAATATTGGAAGCGTTGGCCAAGTACCCGTGCTTGGCCGGACCTTCAACGCCTTCTTCACAGATTGCACGTCCTCCAGCCCGAAAAAGAAAGAAAGGGCTGCTTCCCAATAACAACTCACCGGATGACAAACTTAGCGGTCTTCCACATGGCCAACAGCGGGGACAAGAGCTCCCGGAGGCGCTCGGCACCGGTCGGGCAGCACTTGTTGCTGCGCAACGCTGCGTTGATGGCAGCGCACTTGACCGAGAGGCTCAGAAGGCCGACCGCTGGAACGTCACATGCATCCTTCGCGTCTATCGCCGTCTTGAGGCGACCGACGACGTCG